TTTTTCCCCCCCCCCCCCCCTCCTTCTCTTTTATCTCCTATTTCTTCTATGCTGTCCACCATGAAGGAAAACTATTGACGGTAAGCTTTAAGGCTGAACCTTACGTTCTTGCTTTTCTCTTCTTGCCCGTGTTTTGGACTCTTTTCCTTTCCATTCTTCCAATGATTTTGGATTCCCCTAAAATTCATTTTCTTTTTATGTGGAGTCATTTTCAACTCTAGATGTGCATGTTAGCAACCAAAGCAAACCATGAGAAACATTTTCCTCAATTTATATTCTCTGCTTAATTCTTGATTTCTCCTCTTCTATATATCAGACCATCCATGCTTATCCTTATTTATTCTTCTCTCTTATCTCCATTTGTTGTTTGCAGCTTATTTTGTTGCCAGTTTCGTTTTTGCCCACTTGAGGTTAAGGATGAATAGCTTACTTGATGATTGATGTCACCTTGTCAAAATAAGCATGTTTTGATCATGGTTTGCGTCCTTTTTCTTTTTGGATGAGACTGTTGTTCTTTAAGTGTTCATGTTTAGTTAATTGTTTCTAGGCTAGTTGATTTAGCTTATTGGATTCAACATTGGATCTCAACCATATTGTTCTCGACAGATTCAACACATCTTGGTTTCACATTTTAGCCCATGCTGACATTGTTTCGATACTGGCATGAAATCCACGTAGCTCTAGCATAACTAACTAATTTTATAGTGTTCATACTATTGGCATTGTAACTGGAGTCTAAAATTTCCTGGACAAATTCACTTGGTTTGGGGCTTACTCATAAATTGATCCTATGTATTTGATTTTATTCATTTTAAACTATTTTAATTGTAATCCAAGCATCTTTGAAGATATAAGCTCAATCCTTGTGACTATCTGATGATAAATTCTGCATTTGCACATCGTAGTGCTAAAAGCTGGTGGAACATAAGTTAAATTATTCTTTTTTGGATGTTTTGTTTGATAGGGGATCCTTGTGTTGAGCCATCTTCCCAATGTTCTTTTTTAGTTATTCTTTTTATTTTCGTTGGTCGATTGTTTTGTTAATTCAATTCAACCTGGAGATGTGTTGTATGGCCTGTTTGATGTGAAAAGGCTTGTTGATACTGATTGATTTTAGATAAATACTGACCAGTGAACCTAATTGCTTGCAGAAAAGAGCAAAACTGAATTTAGCAATTCCTGAAATTCCAATGGAGGTTCGGGTGGAGAAAGCTCTAGAGGCTGTATATGTTTGTTGCTTTGGCAAAGATCCAATAGAAGAAGAGGATATGAGACTACTGGGTATCATGCTAAATGCTGTATTTCCTTCTGTTGGGAAATCTGAGATAGACAGGATGGTGACTGTTATGGCCAAGCAGATAGTTGATGGAGAGAAAAATTATCCTGAACCAAAAATTTTGTCTAAAGAAGCTGTACAACGGCAGATGAAGGATCTTCAATTTCTTCAACAGAACAAGGAGAACTCAAGTTGAAATTGTTGTTACTAATTTTGTTGTTTGCTTGTTGCTTAAATACAAGGAAGTAAAGAAAAAAAATGCGGAAAAGGAAAAATCATACACCGTCACCCGTCATCATCTCTTATTATGTTTGTATTTAGATGCTTGAGCTTGTTTGCTGGAGAAGTTGTTCACAGTTCGGTAAACCATAACTGGTAACTACTTAACCTTTTGAGACGTCTGAAAAGGGTTAGCCAGTATGTTATGAATCTTTATACACCAGCTGATATTACCATGGGTTTGTTGCTGAACTGTCAACATTTAGCTGGAATGTTTTTACGGGAGCTATGAACACATTCATGACTACATCTTCTAGCTATCATGCAACGAGTACTCTAGAATATATGGAGGTAAGAGCCTATGGCTTTCATAATTACTCTGCTGTACCTTAAAACGATTTGTCCCCTTATTTTTTTCATGCAGAACAATCTAGAGATTTAAATTTTGTTCATATAGGTCAATACCATCTGATTGGCGAAGTAGTATCAATGAAGGTCACTTGTAGGACTTGCTTTCAGATTTCAAATGGAGTTAGGAACGTACATTCCATACATCAAGCTCCAGTTGCTGAGTTTGGAACATACGTTCCACACATCAAGCTCCAGCTGCTGAGGTATGGAAGCTGTGCATAGAGAGGGAGAGAAGCACCAAAATATGAGTATGCCATTGATTACTATCAACAATAACATGCTTATAAAACTGTTACGTGCAATTCTGGCTAAAGTACAAAAAAAAAAAAAACATGTATGTTTATCATCTTTGCATGAATTAGCTTTACCATATGTACGCCCTGTTTGTTTATATCTTCATGATGTGTGCTTTTTGTTTGTTCGTACACATCTATGCAGAGTTACAACCAAGAATATAAATGTGTTATTGTAGTAATTGTGAGAGAAAATCTAGATTTTAACATCCAGTTAAGGTCACCTATGTAACTTACAATGTGCACCTATTTATATAATACATAAATATACATTCATGAATTAATACACATGCATTCATAACAAGCCTACATAGACACATGCATACATACGTACATACATATTTACATGCATACACATGTAAGTGCATACATATATACATATGTACATACATACGTAGATAGATACATACATACATATATAATATTTAGCAGACTTTCTCTCCTTCAGTTTATTGAAGTTTGAGGGAAATGTGTTACCTCAAAATTTCAACTTAACTCTTTGACCCTCCCTCCAAACAATTTATTCACATTGTATCCCTTTCTTCATTCACCCTTCTCCTATGGCACTGAGAACTTTTTTGGTTGACATGTCAAATTAGGAAAACTTTCCCTGTTGGTTTTGGGTGATAAAATAGCACCACTAAAATTAAATAGTGTTACATAAATTCTAACAGTGTGGGAACAATATTACAAAAGTAATTTCAACGTCTAGATCGCGTTATTGCCTTATTGGTACCAAAAGGTTAGTAAAATATCAAATGGAGTGTTATTTAAACAACATCGTAGGCATTTAAACATTAGCAATTGTCAGCATCATATATACTATGATACCCCACTAATTGTCCCTCGTCAAGAAATTGATAAGAGTTTAAGAGAGTTTGGATGGTGGGTCTTGAGAGTCAAATGTAACATTGACTAGTAAGTGAATTGAGTCAAACCACGTGTTGCACTCAGTTGGTCTCACGACTTACATTGCACTAAGGGGTTCTAGCAGACTTGAGGTGTGACAAATGATATCAAAGTAGTTAATTGGTTAGAACCGTGGAACTAAAGTGCTATGCGGGACTAAATGCTACATCACGTGAATGTGATGAAAGCCAACTCTAGAACCTGTAGGAGCCACATCTAGAACCACATTGTCTGACAGTGACACTGGGACGTGTTAATTGTTATGCATCGACGATGACGCCACGTATTAAAGGTGGGGTGATTGTGATACTCCACAAATAGTTCACATCGGGAAATTAATAGAGTTTAAGAGAGGTTTTGAAAGTTAAGTGCAACATTGACGGGTTAATGTTGGTAGTGGATTGAGCAAAACCACGTGTTGTACTCATTCGGTTCCTCGGCTTACATCACCTCAGTGGGCTCGCGGGCCCAAAGCGTGACATACATAGACACATGAAGTGAAATAATATATAATGAAAATAATCTTAACATATAATGCATATTATCATCCGAGCCAAAAAAAAGCTCTTCAGATTGGCAACATCACTTCTTCTGAAGGTGACGAGTTACGATAACTGGTGTAAAATGTGAAAGAAAGCTGAGGAGAGGTCGAAGGTGGGCAAACCCTACTTTATTAGGAAGTCTTGGCAGCAAACACTCGTTCTATTAAACTCATCAGAAAACACATGCGCTACGTTAGATACTGTAACTTTCTTCCAAATTTAAGATAATGCAGGGCCTTTTTTGATTTAGTTTCCTTTCAACTATTACTTTCCTTTCCTTTAACAAATCCAACTCCAACCCGATAGGCCTATTTTAAATAAAAGTATTGTTTTTGAAATAACAGTAGCTCTTGCGTAAAGCAAGGATAGGAGATTAAACGACTTGTATGTTAACCACCCATTTCGAAAATTGTCAACAGCAAGATAACGTGGGTAGGACCTATATCACCTCTATGCATTATTGTGTCATGCATGCGGTGATAGGGTCAATGTATAAAGTTTGTACACAAACAACTATTTATCTTTGGATTAGGCAAAGTAGGAAGGTTTCATGATTCTTGCATTGATTAAAAATTTTACATGACCCTTGAAAGTTTCAAAATTACAAATATCATCTTTCAAACTTCTTGTTGAAAATTTTACAATTAGCCACATGAAAGTTGCAAAAATAAGAAACACCTGTTGAAAATTTTGAAACTTTCAGCGAAAATAACAAGAGAGCTTGTGTGCTTTAGACTTGAGATTAAGTTAGGGTAGCGTTGAAATTTTATTTAAATTTTAGAAGCAAAGTAGGTTTAGGTGGTTGATTGGAAGAAAAACTAACTTTGTAAGTAGTTTAGATATAAATTGAAAATATAAGATGATCCAAAAAAAAAAAAAAGAAAAAACCCACCCAAAAAAAAAAAACTTATCCATTCTATTACGAAATGGACAATTGAATACTAGATATTTTCTCTGTTTAGTTAAATTCTAATTTTTTTTATGTAGTTGAAGGGACTCTTTTGATGTTAACGGAAATTTGTAGACACCCCGAAATCTCACCGTAGGGAAAGTCGACAACACCGATCACTGGATATGGGAGGGTACAAGACTCTACAGCAGGGACCTGCCCTACTTGACTGGTTACTTTCTCGTCTTGGCACATGTCAACTAATTCCTACGTTTAGTAATACATTTTTATGTCTCAAAGTTGTCATGTTTTATTATTACACACACAAAAGCAAAAAGGAAAAAAAGGGTAAAAGTTGTAATGTTTTCTTAACATCTCTTTGTCAAAGTTGTCACGTTCATGATAAGCCTTGTTATTGGGGTTGGGGAAGCTAAGTGTGTAATTGGCTTAGTATATATATGAGGATTGAGAATGAAGGAAGTAGAATAGGAAGGCTAAGCTACAAGGAACGAGGCTAGCTCGAAGAAACTTTGTATTGAATTGCTTAAAACTTGATAGCTTGATTGCTTCAAAGCTTCCATCCAATGTCTATTTATAGGCTCATAAAGAATTCTTTGGAAGATAGATATTTTTCACGATACATAAACTCTTTAAAGAATTCTATATTATACCTAATTCTAGATATTTCTCATTGCTATCATATGTCTAGTGCTTAGATACTTCTAGATACTTATGATTCATCTAGATATTTTTAGAATATTCTATAATAACAAATTAACTTCTAACACTTACGGCTACTTCGTTAATATCCCACCTTTATATATATTTAAAGTAAAAACTATCCACACACTCATTCAATGAGGTAGAATTTTCTTTTTTAAGAATGTTTTAAAGAAGAGGGATATTATAAAGAAGTGATGTGATTTAAATTCCAAAATGTGAAATTAAAATAATCTACATCCTTATTTTGTTTTTTCTTTACAAAAAAGAGCTCTAGCTTAAATTATCAGACTAAAGAAACCAAACTCACCCGTCTGAGCACAAACATAACACTTGTAATATATGAGAAATTTGTGGTTCTCCTAAAAGCACAAAAACTAACATGTGTCATTTGAATATATGACATTGTCATATAAAAAATAGTCATGTATCTTTCTATTCTATCAGAAGACAACCCCTGGACACTAATCTTACCTTCACCTAATTAAAATCCTTACCAAATTAAAACTATCCGTAATTACAATGGTCCTTTGACAGATGAGGAAGTGACAAACTAATTTCCGGAATGCCTCCCCAACTTGAGAAGTCTCTGAATAAGTGCATCACTCTGTATTGGTTAGGAAGAACTCCTCATATGGACGGTCTACCATTAGTACTTGTGACAGGTTGAATATTTCATACAAAACAATCCCAATCTCGCCTGCCGGAGTGAAAAAAAGTGTTTCTATTAACATTGTACAGCTTCAAAATGTCGTACAACATAGGTGCACAAATCTCTGCACCATATTTTGAGACTCTTACTGTAGAGTAGAGCCTCGAACTTCTTAGCCTCCGCTCAAAAGTGATGATAGCATAATTCACCAGACGAGTCCACCATTAGGTATTCGTTGATGTGAACCTACCAGGGAATCTAGTATCTCCATCAGGTTATTGTTCATCGGTCTTCGCAAGTTCATTCTCGAAGATGTTTGCGACAATAAGAACTTCAATAATAGGGGCATCCTTATGAATGAAGCCCGGACGCAATCTATGACATTGACTCCGTAGAGTCCCTCTTGATGAAAGCCACTATTGTAGTTTAGAAAGCCCACCTTGACACTATCCTCATTGTTAGTGAGGGTATAATGCATTAGGCGGGGCACAACGAGAGGCTGCAAGTACATGAAGGATACATCACACTCTATCGCCGGCAAGTAGTAACAGCGATCCCCTTGGGTGTAATGTCAATGCTCATTCACCCAATTGAATATGGAGGTACCATTAAGACTACTATCCCCAAATAGAAAGTGAGGTCCCGACGTATCCTCGTTAGGAATGGAGAGCTTGGCACCTGTGGTCATCTCCCATAAAATTTAATAATCCCCCGATCATATAGCCTAACGCTTTCTTGGTTACTACCCTCTAAATAGACGAACGTTCCCGTCGAAAGCATGTGTCACTTCAGAGTCACGAGTCCCATAGTGACCATAATGGTTATGGCGGTTGATAGGAGCCTTTGAATAGAAAATTGCACAAAAGGAGACAAAAAAAGAGTTAGAGGAAAAAGACAAAAAGAAATTAACCAAGTCATTGTACTCAGATGTGAAATTCGCCATAGGGAATCTCAGTCACAAGTGAAAGTCAACACAATCAACTAATTATTGATAAGACGAGTAAAGTTCATAATGAAGAGAAGCGAACTTCAGCACCGCAAATGAATCCACTCAAGAAATTACATGGATCTGACTGACGAACAATGCTCAAGCGAAGTTTGCTCAAATTAAACTGATGAATATCGCTCAAGCGAAGGTCGCCCAAATCAAACTGGCGAACCTCTCTCAAGCGATAGTTACTCGATGTAGGCATCGAAAACTGCCTATAGTTCTCCACAACCGGTTCAGTGTTAACGAACGACAATGAACATCACCATCCGACCCACATGAGCCTAATTGACGTCGATGAACGATTGAAGTGAATCGACGAGTTACGTGAGCAGATAGGACTTCGGAATCACGAAGACCCGGACCAATCGGGAAGCCCGGCACTGTTCACAAAAAGGACAACACCCTCCGTGCCTCGACCACTCTAA